CTTGACCAGTAGACTTTAGTGTTGCTGTCAGATCTTAAACCATTTATGTTGAATTTATTCACAAGTTTACTAGACTTTCAATGATTTAAGCCTGTGATATGTACTCTTTTTTATTTTTGAAATCTGTATGATGATCTCTAGATGTCTGTTTTATGGGTAACTTGTTGATTTTCATTTATATCATTGATACCAATATCTACCCACATCTCCTGTAAATCATTTTTTACTGGAACAATTACTTGCTAAATGATTTAGAAGAGGACAGCAATGCTATTTTTTTTTGTGTGCAGTGAAATGGAAAAAGAGTGATTAGTATATTTGTTCTGATTTATTATTCCCTGTAGCTTGTTTCAATAGTTCAGTCCTCTACATGTCCCTGTAATTCAATCATACTCATCCAGCTCATCTATTCTTGTGGAAGTTTTACATGTCCAATTATAGTTATGGTTAGATAATCAGATTTGGCAGCAATCAAAACATTTTTTGTTATTATCAATTGTCCATCCATCATCTCTTGTTAGATTGGAGATCTGAGATTTGTTGTACACACTTAGATTTCTTGATCTACTGCCATCCATGGTCAGCATTTATTATTGGTTCATAAAAACTTTTTTTTTCTGAACCTTTTTGTTATTGACAAGATTTGCAGGCTAAAAATAATAAAAAAAGCAATTTTGATTTTAGCTGATTTGTTAAACAAGAATTTTGAAACAATAATTCAGCCAACTTAGAAGAATACAAATAACTTTCAAATGTAGTATAAGTTTCACATTGATATGGTATTTCAAACTTTTTTGTCCCCCTTAGCGCTCTCACGGGTACAATTCTTGTCAGATTTTTATAAAACTTATACTATAGGTTAATATCAGCAATATCTCAGACAAGTTCTATAATGGTGGCCGATCGACTTTATTTAAAAGAGTTATGCCCCTTGGAAATATTAAATTTATAGAAAATGGCCTTGTTAGCGCTCTCTCTTGTACAATTCTTGCCAGATTTTTAAAAAACTTATACTATAGGTTAATATCACCAATATCTCGGGCAAGTTCTATAAATGGTGGACGATCGACTTTTTTTAAAAAGAGTTATGCCCTTGGAAATTTAAAATATGTGCAACGAGGGGGATAATGGAACTCTGTTCTTTTATTTCTCTTAAAATAGTTATTTCTTTAGAACTTTAGGTATATCTATGAAAAGTAACTAAAAGAGTTATTTTTGTGTTATAGAAATTGTAGAAGCACATCATTACAGCAGACACTGTAACTGTATTCTTCATCAATAGTGAAATTTTTCAGTTGACTTAATTTTGTCCCTTGACAATACTACTAACAGTATGTTCACAAATGTAATAAGGTATTGTGTTGTTCTATTTGTACAAGACCAGTGAAATGCTTTTTTGAAATATTCCCATGTGTATAATTTGATTGTTGAAGTTATTGGATCAATTTCCTTTTTTTTTTCTCTAGTAACATAGCTTAATCTGATCAATGGATATGTTTGAGAATTTTTGATTTGTGTTGATGCTGCAAATCATTAGTTGAAGATTTTGGCTTAGATAATTTTGTAGAACTATTTGATTTTAAAGTTTTTAATGTGTTGCAATTCAAGCCTTTGTTGATACTGAATAAAAAAAAGAATAGGAAAAAAATGAACAAAACAAATGCAAATGGAACTTCAACTTTCTAACAGAATTTCATGATAAATGTTTAAGCAGATTGGTTTTATTTTAGGTAGCAAACTTGAATCATGAATAGTGAAGAAAAAGTTCTAATTTTGGAGAGACAAACATAAAAACCATAAATTTTACATCAATCTTGATTACCATCGTTTCATATAGTTTACCACATAAGAATGACATTGTTTATTAATAATATGAAACACATCATGCAATGCTGTTCCTGAAGTTTGGTTCCTGAAAATTGTGTAATGATTGTTGTTGGTAAAGCATTATTGTATAAAGAAAGGGGAAATACAATATGTTATCAACAATAAGGGTTATAAATTATGTGAGTGTTAAATAGTTGTGTAATATGTTATAGGTTGCTGTACACCTCTATCTTTAGTGATAGGCATATTGACAATTATTTGTCTTGCATGTATGGACAATAATTCACTGAGTTCCATACCATTTTGATTAACTTCACTTTGACAAAGGAACTACCTCTCATTGTGTTCAAGAGTGCTATGAAGATAATATCTCTTCCAAACCTGGAAAATATATGGGTTTATCTTTATCTCAGAATTCAGGGTGTGCTGATAATCTCTGGACACATAAATTAATATAACAAGTGGCTTATGCATTGAATTGGTCCAATATACAAATAGCAATGATGGTTCCAACCATGTCCCCAAACAGATGGAAGCAACACATTAGCTGAAACACCTGAAGACTCTCCTCCCAGTTGAACCTCTAATACTCAATACTTCTAGGTATCCATTCTTAAAATACCATTCAAAATCTGAATTAGACTATAAACAAGTGAGAGAATAAACATGTTAACTAATATTACACAATACCATGTTATGTCAGAATTGTTGAGGGAAAAGTTAGTTTATATGATACAATAACATAACACCTTTATATAATGATTCAAAACAGTAATGGAAAATTCCTTTTAGTATTGAAACATCTTTTATAAATACTGGTATTTAAAAAAAGAAATAAGCCATAATTTGCTTGACATTGACATTTTAAGTTTCAGCTAACACAAACAAATCAAATATAAAATTGATATTTATGTTGTTTTCCTGCAGCTTGTACAAAGATGTATAATGTGGTTCTTTAACACTTCTGTCATTTAACCAATTTCTAGATAGAAATTAAAGGCAATGAGTGTTGACAACATTTCACACATCTTATTGTAATGTCCTAATATCGTAGTCTTATCTACATTATGATTTCGTTTTAATAGGGTCTGTGTGGAGTGGGTTTTTTGACAATTGAGTTATTAGTCCATTATTTCTCTGAAAGTTTTTCTTGTGCAAGATTCTGTAAATATTTATAAATGTACTGGCTTGTTCTTGTCTGTATTCAGTTTTATGATAGTTACACAGAAATATCAAATTTTAGTTTTGATGCATCATGTACAAGCTCTTTATGATGGGAAATAACCAAGTCCATCCTTACAATGTTTTCATTAATGTAAACTTTGTAAATCTCTTTTTTCTACATTTGCCTTTTTAAAACTTTTGTTCAGGTAAGAGCATGCTTGAAATTTCTTTATTTTTTTAAATTTTTTTTTAAACTCAATTTGGAATGTTTATCTTCAGATGTTTTTACTCATAATTTAGTTTTATGAACAACTAAATTTTGCTTTTTTGATGATATTTTCCTTTTCTTTTAAAGTGTAATTGTAATTTCAAATGATAATCTGCATGTTTATCTGAATCTGGATATGTTGTAATTGTAATTTCAGCTATATATTTTTCAAAATACTAAACCGTAATCTTAATTTTTGCCATTGGTCAACATGAAAACTGTATTTTCACCATTTTCTTATGTTTTACAAATATTTTTCCCCCAAACACAAGAGTAAGGGGTATAGTAATAGGCTATCTCTATCTATGCGTCAAATTTTCTTGTCATTGCTATAATTTGTGTGAAAATGACCCTATTCCAAAAATGCTTTGCTCAAAAACTACAAATATGAATGTGTCAGTTAGATATTTAGATGGACAGGATTAGTTAGTCATATATTCAGAGGGAAAAAGGGGGGGGGGGGGGGGGGGGGATATTATATTTTTTTAAAGGTGATTTTTGAGAATTGATTCTTATTTAGGCAATTAATTGAGTAAATAAGACTTACCGGTAATTCAAATATTGTGTTCAGATAGAAGAGATTCATGAAATATTTTTAGTGAAAATACCGGTAATGGTTTTTATTGGGGAAAAAAAAGTAGAATTCAGTATTCTTTATGTATTGTTTGAAAATCAAATGATATCTTTGAAAGAACATTGCAAACTAAAATTTGTGTTTATTGTTAGAACAACTTTTCTGTTTGAAAATGACTTTCAGTACAGACATTAGGGGTACATTTTAGTCTGACACAAGATATTGAACTTTGACCTCATTTTCATGGTTTATTAAAATCCAAATATTTGCTATTGGATCCATATCTAAGTTGCTACAATTCATAGTTCAGTTATATTTTGTCAACATAATTGTAATAAGTTTTACATGGCAATTTAAAAGGGATGTAATGTTTCTCAATTGTTATTAGGAGTACTTTGTAAACTATATCATAAAAAAGAAGATGTGATATGATTGCCAATGAGACAACTCTCCACAAGAGACCAAAGTACGCAGAAATTAACAACTATATGTCACCGTACGGCCTTCAACAATGAGCAAAGCCCATACCGCATAGTCAGCTATAAAAGGCCCTGATATGACAAATGTAAAACAATTCAAACCAGAAAACTGAAGGCCTAATTTTTGTACAAAATAATGAACAAAAAACAAATATGTAACACAGCAACAAATGACAACCACTGAATTACAGGCTCCTGACTTGGGACAGGCACATACAGAATGTGGTGGGGTTAAACATGTTAGTGGGTGCCCAACCCTCCCCCTAACCTGGGACAGTGGTGTAACAGTACAACATAAGAACAAACTATAAAAATCATTTGAAAAAGGCTTAACTCATCAGATGGATATAAATAGAAATACATCTAACAAAAACACAGAGTAGACGTGGACGGGTACTTGTACATCCCAACAACAAAAAGACACGTAAAGTTATCTGTCATACAGGTGCTTCCTAGCCTTTGTTGTATGTTTTAGCAGTTGACATTTAAATTTCTGCTACTTTAAGTGACAGGACAACTAAATTTAGTACACAGTACAGGTAATTAAGGTTTACAAGATAAATACTGTTGAGTTCATGATATGATCCCGACAATGGACAAGCACCTTTACTGTATTGCATGTTCTAAATTGACAAGTGTCACTGACATAATATCTACTGTCATTCATAACCACTTTCTTTTTTTTCAGCCTCAAGGTTCAGATGCTGGTGATTCAGAATATGTAAGTTTAATAGATTCTGTGTTACATTTAAAGTTGTCTAGTTATAAGGCCATTTTTTTTTTGGCCCCAAGAATTAGAAAATCTTGCAGATGTTCATGAGACATTAGTTAGTCACAGGAACTGAGCAGTACCTCAATGGTTAAGTTAAGTTTATAATGAAATGCAAGTCCTGTATACCCTCTTGGAAACTATAGGTTTGATTGTTTGATGTTCGCTTATTTTTGTTTGTGGATAATTTCAAATGATAATACTGATCAACATTTGAAGATGAAAAATTAGGTCATGATCTGCATTTATTTCAAAATATTGGATATTTTATCTTAATGTATACATAGTTTGTCTTAATGTATACATAGTTTGTCTTAATGTATACATAGTTTGTCTTAATGTATACATAGTTTGTCTTAATGTATACATAGTTTGTCTTAATGTATACATAGTTTGTCTTAATGTATACATAGTTTGTCTTAATGTATACATAGTTTGTCTTAATGTATACATAGTTTGTCTTAATGTATACATAGTTTGTCTTAATGTATGTATACATAGTTTGTCTTAATGTATACATAGTTTGTCTTAATGTATACATAGTTTGTCTTAATGTATACATAGTTTGTCTTAATGTATACATAGTTTGTCTTAATGTATACATAGTTTGTCTTAATGTATACATAGTTTGTCTTAATGTATACATAGTTTGTCTTAATGTATACATAGTTTGTCTTAATGTATACATAGTTTGTCTTAATGTATACATAGTTTGTCTTAATGTATACATAGTTTGGCTTAATGTATGTATACATAGTTTGTCTTAATGTATACATAGTTTGTCTTAATGTATACATAGTTTGTCTTAATGTATACATAGTTTGGCTTAATGTATACATAGTTTGGCTTAATGTATACATAGTTTGGCTTAATGTATACATAGTTTGTCTTAATGTATACATAGTTTGTCTTAATGTATACATAGTTTGTCTTAATGTATACATAGTTTGGCTTAATGTATGTATACATAGTTTGTCTTAATGTATACATAGTTTGTCTTAATGTATACATAGTTTGTCTTAATGTATACATAGTTTGTCTTAATGTATACATAGTTTGTCTTAATGTATACATAGTTTGTCTTAATGTATACATAGTTTGTCTTAATGTATACATAGTTTGTCTTAATGTATACATATTTTGTCTTAATGTATACATAGTTTGTCTTAATGTATACATAGTTTGGCTTAATGTTTACATAGTTTGGCTTAGAGAAATTTACATTTTCATTTAGCACATCTTTTTCATTGAAAAAAAAAAAAAAATCTTGACTTTTAATGTTTATGAATTATTGTCGAGCCTGCGACTTCTGTCACAGAAAATGAGACATAGGGATAGTGATCTGGCAGCCGTGGCAACGGCGGCATTAAAAAACTTCTTAAAAGCTTAATATTTCAGAAGGTAGAAGACCTGGATGCTTCAAACTTTGTATATAGATGCCTTATGCTAAAAAGTTTTCGTCTGTCATATGTCCATTGTCCTTGACCTCATTTTCATGGTTAAGTGACTACTTGAAAAAAAAGTTCAGATTTTTAGTAATGCTCTGTAAAATTTCTCACTTATTATGAGTAATAGGATAACTATATTTGGTATGTGCTTACCTTGCAAGGTCCTCATGCCTGTCAGGCAGTTTTCGCTTGACCTCCACCTGATTTCATGGATCAGTGAACAAGGTTAAGTTTTCGTGGTCAAGTCCATATCTCAGATACTATAAGCAATAGGTCTACTATATTTGGTGTATGGAATGATTGTAAGGTGTACATAACCAACTGACAGGTGTCATCTGACCTTGACATCATTTTCATGGTTCAGTGGTTAAAGTTAAGTTTTTGTGTTTTGGTCTGTTTTTTCTAATACTGTATGCAATAGGTCAACTATATTTGGTTTATGAAAATATTTTTCAGTGTACATGTCAGTCGGGTAGGTTTTATTTTACCTTGACCTCATTTCTACAGGTTCATTGCTAAATGTTAAGTTTTTATACGACCGCAAAAATTAAAAATTTTTTGGTCGTATATTGGTATGACGTTGGCGTCGTCGTCGTCGTCGTCGTCCGGCGTCGTCTGGCGTCGTCCGAAGACACATTGGTTTTCGCACTCTAACTTTAGTTTAAGTTAATGGATCTCCATGAAATTTTACCATAAGGTTCAATACCATGAAAGGAAGGTTGGGATTGATTTTGGGGGTTATGGTACCAACAGTTGAGGAATTAGGGGCCAAAAAGGGGCCAAAAATAAGCATTTTTGTAACTTCCAGACAATAACTTGTGTGTAAGTGTATGGATCTCTCTGACATTGTACCACAAGGTTCCATATCACATAGGGAAGGCTGTAATTGATTTTGGGGGTAATTGCCTCAAAATTTTAGGAATTAGGGGCCAAAAAAGGGGCAAAAAACAAGCATTTTTCTAGTTTCATGACAATTACTTGTGTGCAAGTGTTTGGATATTTCTTAAATTGTACTACAAGGTTCCATATCACAAAGGGAAAGCTGGAATTGAGTTTGGGGGTAATTGCCCGAAACGTTTAGGAATTGGGGGCCAAAAAGGGGCCAAAAATAAGCATTTTTCTAGTTTCCAGACAATAACTTGTGTTCAATTGTATGGATCTCTCTGAAATTGTACTGCAAGATACCATACCACAAAGGGAAGGCTGGGATTGAGTTTGGGGGTGATGAATCATAAGGGGGTTCAAAAAATTTGGGGGGGGGGGGGGGTTTCTTTTTTTTTCTTTTTTTCCTTTTTATACGACCGCAAAAATTGAAAATTTTTTGGTCGTATATTGGTATGACGTTGGCGTCGTCGTCGTCGTCGTCGTCGTCGTCGTCGTCGTCTGGCGTCGTCCGGCGTCGTCCGAAGACACATTGGTTTTCGCACTCTAACTTTAGTTTAAGTGAATGGATCTCCATGAAATTTTACCATAAGGTTCAATACCACGAAAGGAAGGTTGGGATTGATTTTGGGAGTTATGGTACCAACAGTTAAGGAATTAGGGGCCAAAAAGGGGCCAAAAATAAGCATTTTTGTAACTTCCAGACAATAACTTGTGTGTAAGTGTATGGATCTCTCTGACATTGTACCACAAGGTTTCATATCACAAAGGGAAGGCTGTAATTGATTTTGGGGGTAATTGCCTCAAAATTTTAGGAATTAGGGGCCAAAAAAGGGGCAAAAAACAAGCATTTTTCTAGTTTCATGACAATAACTTGTGTGTAAGTGTTTGGATATTTCTGAAATTGTACTACAAGGTTCCATATCACAAAGGGAAAGCTGGAATTGAGTTTGGGGGTAATTGCCTGAAACATTTAGGAATTGGGGGCCAAAAAGGGGCCAAAAATAAGCATTTTTCTAGTTTCCAGACAATAACTTGTGTTCAAGTGTATGGATCTCTCTGAAATTGTACTGCAAGGTACCATACCACAAAGGGAAGGCTGGGATTGAGTTTGGGGGTGATGAATCATAAGGGGGTTCAAAAAATTTGGGGGGGGGGATTTTTTTCTTTCTTTTTTTTTCTTTTTTTCCTTTTTTTTTTCTTTTAAAATTTTCAATTTTAAGTTGGTTATTTCTGATTAATATTTAAAAGCAAATAATAATGATATGGTAGGAGATACACACCAAACAGGATGTGTAAATTATTATATAATAAGTATTGTGCAATAGCAAGAAATTTTCAATTGCACAGTATTGCACAATTGCAAGAAATCTTCAATTGCACAGTATTGCGCAATAGCAAGAAATCTTCAATTGCACAGTATTGCGCAATAGCAAGAAATATCCAATAGCACAATATTGCGCAATAGCAAGAAATTGTCAATTGTACAGTATTGCACAATAGCAAGAAATATTCAATTGCACAGTATTGTGCAAAAGAAGATACTTCGTATAAATTGCTTATTTCTTGATCAATTTCAATGGGGTTTTATTCTTGAATTCTTGGGGTTCTTTAATATGCTGAATCTAACCGTGTATTAAGTTTTTGGATTTTGGGCCCCGTTTTTAAATTGGTCCACATTGAGGTCCAAAGGGTCCAAAATTTAACTTTGTTTGATTTCATCAAAAATTGAATTATTGGGGTTCTTTGATATGCCGAATCTAACCGTGTATTTAGATTCTTAATTTTTGGTTCCGTTTTCAAATTGGTCTACATTAAGGTCAAAAGGGTCCAAAATTAAACTTAGTTTGATTTTAACAAAAATTTAATTTTTAGGGTTCTTTGATATGCTGAATCTAAACATGTATTTAGATTTTTGATTATGGGCCCAGTTTTCAAGTTGGTCCAAATCAGGGTCCAAAATTAAACTTTGTTTGATTTCAACAAAAATTGAATATATGGGGTTCTTTGATATGCTGAATCTAACCATGTATTTAGATTTTTGATTTTTGGGCCCCGTTATCAACTTTGTCCACATTGAGGTCAAAAGGGTCCAAAATTAAACTTTGTTTGATTTCATCAAAAATTGAATTCTTGGGGTTCTTTGATATGCTGAATCTAACCATGTATTTAGATTTTTTATTTGTGGACCCGCTATCAAATTGGTTCATATTGAGGTCAAAAGGGTCCAAAATTAAACTTTGTTTGATTTCATCAAAAATTGAATTATTGGGGTTCTTTGTTATGCCAAATCTAACCGTGTATTTAGATTTTTAATTTTGGGTCCCGTTTTTAAATTGGTCTACATTAAGGTCCAAAGGGTCCAAAATTAAACTTAGTTTGATTTTAACAAAAATTGAATTCTTGGGGTTCTTTGATATGCTGAATCTAAACATGTGTTTAGAATTTTGATTATGGGCCCAGTTTTCAAGTTGGTTTAAGTTGGGGTCCAAAATTAAACTTTGTTTGATTTCAACAAAAATTGAATATATGGGGTTCATTGATATGCTGAATCTAAACATGTATTTAGATTTTAGATTTTTGGCCCAGTTTTCAAGTTGGTCCAAATTGGGGTCCAAAATTAAACTTTGTTTGATTTCAACAAAAATTGAATATATGGGGTTCTTTGATATGCTGAATCTTACCATGTATTTAGATTTTTTATTTGTGGGCCCGCTATCAAATTGGTTCATATTGAGGTTAAAAGGGTCCAAAATTAAACTTTGTTTGATTTCATCAAAAATTTAATTATTGGGGTTCTTTGATATGCCAAATCTAACTGTGTATTTAGATTTTTAATTTTGGGTCCCGTTTTTTAAATTGGTCTACATTAAGGTCCAAAGGGTCCAAAATTAAACTTAGTTTGATTTTAACAAAAAATGAATTTTTGGGGTTCTTTGATATGCTGTATCTAAACATGTGTTTAGATTTTTGATTATGGGACCAGTTTTCAAGTTGGTCCAAGTTGGGGTCCAAAATTAAACTTTGTTTGATTTCAACAAAAATTGAATATATGGGGTTCTTTGATATGCTGAATCTAAACATGTATTTAGATTTTAGATTTTTGGCCCAGTTTTCAAGTTGGTCCAAATTGGGGTCCAAAATTAAACTTTGTTTGATTTCAACAAAAATTGAATATATGGGGTTCTTTGATATGCTGAATCTTACCATTTATTTAGATTTTTTATTTTGTAGGCCCGCTATCAAATTGGTTCATATTGTGGTCAAAAGGGTCCAAAATTAAACTTTGTTTGATTTCATCAAAAATTGAATTATTGGGGTTCTTTGATATGCCAAATGTAACCGTGTTTTTAGATTTTTAATTTTGGGTCCCGTTTTTTAAATTGGTCTACATTAAGGTCCAAAGGGTCCAAAATTAAACTTAGTTTGATTTTAACAAAAATTGAATTCTTGGGGTACTTTGATATGCTGAATCTAAACATGTGTTTAGATTTTTGATTATGGGACCAGTTTTCAAGTTTGTCCAACTTGGGGTCCAAAATTAAACTTTGTTTGATTTCAACAAAAATTGAATATATGGGGTTCTTTGATATGCTGAATCTAACCATGTATTTTGATTTTGGACATTGGACCATAATAGGTAAATTAAAAAAATTGAAGTTCTTAGACCACATTCTTTCTGTGTCAGAAACCTATGCTGTGTCAAATATTTAATCACAATCCAAATTCAGAGCTGTATCAAGCTTGAATGTTGTGTCCATACTTGCCCCAACTGTTCAGGGTTCGACCTCTGCGGTCGTATCAAGCTGCGCCCAGCGAAGCATTTTATTTTTTTCTTTTAAAATTTTCCATTTTAAGTTGGTTATTTCTGATTTATATTTAAAAGCAAATAATAATGATATGGTAGGAAATACACACCAAACAGGATGTGTGAATTATTATACAATAAGTATTGTGCAATAGCAAGAAATTTTCAATTGCACAGTATTGCACAATAGCAAGAAATCTTCAATTGCACAGTATTGCGCAATAGCAAGAAATCTTCAATTGCACAGAATTGCGCAATAGCAAGAAATATCCAATAGCACAATATTGCGCAATAGCAAGAAATTGTCAATTGTACAGTATTGCGCAATAGCAAGAAATATTCAATTGCACAGTATTGTGCAAAAGAATATACTTTGTATAAATTGCTTATTTCTTGATCAATTTCAATGGGGTTTTATTCTTGAATTCTTGGGGTTCTTTAATATGCTGAATCTAACCGTGTATTAAGTTTTTGGATTTTGGGCCCCGTTTTTAAATTGGTCCACATTGAGGTCCAAAGGGTCCAAAATTAAACTTTGTTTGATTTCATCAAAAATTGAATTATTGGGGTTCTTTGATATGCCGAATCTAACCGTGTATTTAGATTCTTAATTTTTGGTTCCGTTTTCAAATTGGTCTACATTAAGGTCCAAAGGGTCCTAAATTAAACTTAGTTTGATTTTAACAAAAATTGAATTCTTAGGGTTCTTTGATATGCTGAATCTAAATATGTATTTAGATTTTTGATCATGGGCCCAGTTTTCAAGTTGGTCCAAATCGGGGTCCAAAATTAAACTTTATTTGATTTCAACAAAAATTGAATATATGGGGTTCTTTGATATGCTGAATCTAACCATGTATTTAGATTTTTGATTATGGGCCCAGTTTTCAAGTTGGTCCAAATCGGGGTCCAAAATTTAACTTTGTTTGATTTCAACAAAAATTGAATATATGGGGTTCTTTCATATGCTGAATATAACCGTGTATTAAGTTTTTGGATTTTGGGCCCCGTTTTTAAATTGGTCCACATTGAGGTCCAAAGGGTCCAAAATTTAACTTTGTTTGATTTCATCAAAAATTGAATTATTGGGGTTCTTTGATATGCCGAATCTAACCGTGTATTTAGATTCTTAATTTTTTGGTTCCGTTTTCAAATTGGTCTACATAAAGGTCCAAAGGGTCCAAAATTAAACTTAGTTTGATTTTAACAAAAATTGAATTTTTAGGGTTCTTTGATATGCTGAATCTAAACATGTGTTTAGATTTTTGATTATGGGCCCAGTTTTCAAGTTGGTCCAAATCAGGGTCCAAAATTAAACTTTGTTTGATTTCAACAAAAATTGAATATATGGGGTTCTTTGATATGCTGAATCTAACCATGTATTTAGATTTTTGATTTTTGGGCCCCGTTATCAACTTTGTCCACATTGAGATCAAAAGGGTCCAAAATTAAACTTTGTTTGATTTCATCAAAAATTGAATTCTTGGGGTTCTTTGATATGCTGAATCTAACCATGTATTTAGATTTTGGATATTGGACCATAATAGGTGAATGTCCAATTTAAAATTTTTAAGTTCTTAGACCACATTCATTCTGTGTCAGAAACCTATGCTGTGTCAAATATTTAATCACAATCCAAATGCAAAGCTGTATCAAGCTTGAATGTTGTGTCCATACTTGCCCCAACTGTTCAGGGTTCGACCTCTGCGGTCGTATCAAGCTGCGCCCTGCGGAGCATTTTATTGTGTTTTGGTCTGTTTTTCTTAAACTATTAGCAATAGGTCAACTGTATTTGTTGTATGGAATGATTGTTAGGTGTACATGTCTGTCTGGCAGGGTTCATCTGACCTTGACCTCATTTTCATGGTTCATTGATCAATGTTAAGTTTTCCTGGTTAAGTATGTTTCTTGTATACTATAAGCAATAGGTCAACTATAGTATATTTGGTGTATGGAATGATTTTAAGGTGTACATGTATTTCTGGCTTGGTTTATCTGAACATGACTTCATTTTCTTTGATCATGTTAAGTTTATGTGATACTTGTAGTAAAACTTTATATTTAGGACTATCAACATAAAATCAATGGTCAGTAAAGCAGGCGAGACATTTCAGCGTGTGCACTCTTGTAGGTTAAACATTAAAGTTGCAATTTTCAAATTTGACAAAAATTCAAGAACACAATTCTGAGTGAGCAATTACATAGTGGATACTATTCCAAGGGAGGTAACTCAAATCAAGACCAGGTATACTTGCATTGTCAACAAAATATTCACATATATGCAGTGTTCAAAAAAATAAGTTTATCTCTAGAAGCCTTTTCTGTTTTTTCCTTTTGTTTTTTTTTTTGTATAGTAGGGTTGTCTTAATTTAGGTATACCCTAGCCTATATATTCCTATTTATATCAAGTGTTTTGATTCAAAAAGACATGTGCCGACATTGACACAGGCAATGTTTCAGCATATTTAACATGAAGCATATTAAGATAAAAAGATGCTTTGTAAACCAGGAAAAGCTGTTGTATGGGTTTAAGTGGATGTTATAAAGGTCAACATTAAATCAACACAAATTAGTACTTGGTAGGATCTGTTTCTGATTGTTTGTCATCAAAGTCAAACAGCCACTTTGAATTGACTAATGTTTTTCTAGAGTTATAGGACTTTGACCATTTTTGGCTTTTTGTAGCATAATGACATATTTTGAAAAATACTGCTCTGAGACCATATGTCTGAAAGCTTCCATACTTAATAAAATGGTTCGTCATGTAATGTAGTTGACCACTCTATATCCCCATTATGATTTTCAATTTTTCCAGGGTTATGGGACTTTTACCATTTTTGTATGCCAGAGCTTTGTGAACATATGCCTGAAAGATGTTGGTCCTGATTAGATTGTTCTTTAGTGTGAACAGTTGAACATACCTTGCCTCCATTTTATTTGACAATTATTGCATGAGTTATGGGAGTTTGATGGTTTACCTTTTTTCACAATTTAAGAAAGCTAATGTACTCTGACCCTTTTCATAAAAGGTTTCCTACTTAGTAAGATTGTTTTTGACCATGTTTGGCCTATTGTAGCATGATAACACTTGTGACTGCTACTTCACTGAAATCATATTTCTGTAACATTCATACATTGGTATTGTTTGTTGAAATTTAAGTATTTTGGGTAACCTTGATAGTAGCTGTTGTCATTATTATGTCATATCTCAATGTTAAACCTCCTCTCTATAGGTCTGGGGGACAGTAGCTGTTGTCATTATTACGTCATATCTCAATGTTATACCCCCTCTCTATAGGACTGGGGGACAGTAGCTGTTGTCATTATTATGTTATACCCCCTCTCTAGGAGTGGGGGACAGTAGCTGTTGTCATTATTATGTCATATCTCAATGTTATACCCACTCTCTAGGAGTGGGGGACAGTAGCCGTTGTCATTATTATGTCATATCTCAATGTTTAACCCACTCTCTAGGACTTGGGGACAGTAGCTGTTGTCATTATTATGTCATATCTCAATGTTATACCCCCTCTCTAGGAGTGGGGGACAGTAGCTGTTGTCATTATTATGTCATATCTCAATGTTATACCCCCTCTCTAGGAGTGGGGGACAGTAGCTGTTGTCATTATTATGTCATATCTCAATGTTATACCCCCTCTCTAGGAGTGGGGGACAGTAGCTGTTGTCATTATTATGTCATATCTCAATGTTATACCCCCTCTCTAGGAGTGGGGGACAGTAGCTGTTGTCATTATTATGTCATATCTCAATGTTATACTCCCTCTCTAGGAGTGGGGGACAGTAGCTGTTGTCATTATTACGTCATATCTCAATGTTATACCCCCTCTCTAGGAGTGGGGGACAGTAGCTGTTGTCATTATTACGTCATATCTCAATGTTATACCCCCTCTCTAGGAGTGGGGGACAGTAGCTGTTGTCATTTTTATGTCATATCTCAATGTTATACCCACTCTCTAGGAGTGGGAGACAGTAGCTGTTGTCATTATTATGTCATATTTCAATGTTATACCCCTCTCTAGGAGTGGGGAACAGTAGCTGTTGTCATTATTATGTCATATTTCAATGTTATACCCCCTCTCTAGGACTGGGGGACAGTAGCTGTTGTCATTATTATGTCATATCTCAATGTTATATCCCCTCTCTAGGAGTGGGAGACAGTAGCTGTTGTCATTATTATGTCATATCTCAATGTTATACCCCCTCTCTAGGAGTAAGGGTTATATTGCATTCCCTTTTATCCATCTGTCTGTCAATCGAACTGTTTGTCCAACAAATATTTCCATCACTTACAAATTTTTGTCACATATTTCTCCAATACTTCTGAACAGAATGACTATATGTGGTCAGCAGCTCACTAGTGATAAGTTGTGAGGTGTGTGCACTATTGAGATCTGTGAGACACTTAACTCCTGCTATGTGATATTTTGAATTATGAGTGGGGGTATGTTTAGCACAACACATGAATTCTTGTTTTCTCAAAATTTTCAAATTGTCAAAGTATCCATGAAAATTGCAAACAGTTATAGGGAAAATTACATAGCTCCAAATTTGGGTGATGATTAAAACTGTGTATTCAGATACACAACATCGTCTTCATATCCTTATGAAAAAATAGAATAGAGAATGGACACAGATAATGTGTCAAAGAGACAACAACCCGACCAAAGAACAGAAAACAGCCCAAGGCCACCAACGAGTCTTCAACACATCAAGAAAAATCCAACACATGCAGGCTTGCTTCAGCTGGTGCCTTAAATAAAATGGATGCCAATTCAGTGAAATTGACGTCACACTAAACTCCAAAACATACAAATGAACCAAAATTAATGATAAATATAAATAAGGAGATGTGGTATGAGTGCCTATTAGACAACTCTCCATCCAAGTCACAATGTATAAAAAGTTAACAATCATAGGTCAAAGTACGGCCTTCAACACAGAGCCTTGCCTCACACCGAACAGCAAGCTACATGTATAAAGGGCCCCCAAAATGACTAGTGTAAAACAATTCAAACAGGAAAACCAACTGTCTAATCTATATGAAAAAAAGTCCATTTTTGTCTCCATTAACTGAAGAATTACAAAGTATTACAAATATATCAAATAATACCATCATGTGTTCTCAAGATATAAGTCTCTGGATATCCATGTATCTGAATTTTGTCTTGCATTTTTTTTTTGGCTTTCAAACAATTTTCATTAACATGTTAAAAGAAAATTTGTAGAAAAAGACAAAATAGTCTCATCTTCAGATTTTTCTTTTAATTTTTAAATATCAGCATCAACCTTACCTTAAGCTTGAAAAAGATATTTTGCCATAATCATCTTATACACAGATATAAATAAAAGTGAAGTGTTTTCTATTGCAGAAGAATAAAAATTTCCGCATTTTTTTTTTACGTTTTCCAAAAGGCCAATTTTACCCAAATTTGTTTTAAGACAGGATATCACAAATGACATTTCTGCACTCAAATGACAAGATTTTGTCATCTTATTTAGCATTCTTCATGCATAGCCACAGGCCCAGCAGCCCAGGCTTGTAAAATTGCTTTCAGGTTTGTAAAAATCATCTCTACAGGCCAACAGAATCTAACTAAAATGTTCTGAAAATTGAGCTTAGGGCCTGTAGATTTTAAAGTTTATTGTGAAGACTGATTTAGTTATCAATGAAATCAACATTTTTTTTAAATGATTGTCAATTTTTCACATTTTGTAATTTTAGAGGCCAAGTTGTAAGTCTTTAATCATATCTCCTCCTTTTTGAATCTGAGGACTTATCGAAAATTCAAAGACAGAAAACTTACACAATATTATGCAACTTTAGGAATCATTGTTTTTTATAATCTCTGAATCTTTGAGTTATATTTTTTATATGAAGGTTCCTACAATCTAACTTTCAGACATTAATTTTACATGTAAGATTTGAGGAAGTCGGTGCAGTAATTGAAAACCTTTTGATCTATTTTCTCCATTTAGTTACCAAACTACCAATGTTTAGTCAATATCTTTGTCTATGATATCCTAGCAATAATATTGAATTTCCCTTTTCATTTTTATTTTGACATTTGGTGAATATAAATGATGAGAATTTGTGAGAGGTAATTTGAGTATAACACTGCCAGTACTAGCAGGATTTGTTTGTTGATTATTACTGCCATGTTGTTTATAGCCGTCTTACTAGAATGGAGGTTATATCAGATGGAGAAGAAATCAGTATAACTGAAGGGTAAAGTCTTGTCATTTATTTCTTGTCTTTGTCTCAGATAATAATCGATCTAGATTAAAAGGAGTTTTTAAAAAAATTATTTAAGAAATAAAAAGTTAAAAAATTAGGATATTTTACATATGTAATGTTTAAACAGCATAAAAAAGTGATTTTGAAACTGAAAATTTTTGATTAGATATGTCATGTAGATTGAATAACAGTTAAAGTTTTGTGCCTTTATCTTTTTGGAAGATGTTGGGGAATGTTTACATTTTTTTTTATGTTATTCTGCACCTACCTAATACTTGTCATTAATTTTGATAATGCAGCATTTATCTTTTGGGTGGTTCTTGTCTTTCTCGTCAAATTCCATTTATGATGTATATGAGATAGAACCATCTGATTTTTCTTGCAGTTGCAGCTTATTAAAGGAATATGCCGCTTGTCAAAAGTAGGTTGTGACCTTTATTGCCAATCTATACATTTTTGCTAAAATTTGGTAAAATTAATTGACTTTATATCTAGATCTTGTCTAAAAATTTAGATAAAAACTTGCATGTCAACACTTCTTTGTTGACTTTGGTCTGAATATTTGTCAACATTATATATATCTTAGTTGTCTTATACACAGTATGTATAAATGACAACAGTATGGATCTGTCATTTCACTCCTACATATGTTCTTGCAGTCAGTCTTCTTATGGATGATCTATTCCAAGAATGAATATTTTTACTTACTTTTATGCATGGTGATATTGAATCTTCAAACCCAATGAGGAAAACACTGCTTGCATTGAAAAGTTAAATTCTGATATAAAACTAATCTCTCTGTTTCTACACATAGTTTTCTGATCTGTTTAATTGATGTTTAATTAGATACTCTTATATTAAACTAAAGCTCATTTTTATATGAAATATGCTTTTGATAACTTTGGGAGAGTACACAAGTTTCTTATGCTCTGCTAAGAGAATGTTAGATATAAGTTATTATTTAGTAACAGATGTTACTATTAGCGTAGTACATTCTTCTAGTATAGTGGTGCTACATGTACTTATATTTAGAACTACAACTGTAGTTTGATGCAGACATGTTCTACCAGTTATTAATAAACACAATGTATTGTTATGGAAAGTATGAAAATAAATATTCAACCTTTTATATAACACATGTATGCTGAAAATGTACACATATATATAATCGAAAGATTTCTTAGATCTCTAGAACATGGTTTATTGTTAAGAGTTGTTACACAGTTTATTTTTGGAAGGATCAAGAGAAAAAGATTCTCAGACAAATGAAAATATTCAGTTTTGCCACCTGATAAATCCATTATCAAGATCAATACCAACCAATACATTGAGGATAATACTATCGAGGAAATAACTTTTATGTGGGTTTTTTCCCCACATTATTGTCATTACATAATGTTTCATTTTAGTCATTTTAATTTTGACTGCAAAGTAATGATTTAGTGAAAAGTGAATCTGAAATCAAAATACAACTATTGTAATTTGTTTATTTAGGATTCTGTTGGTGTTTATTGTGCATTTGCTGTGCATAAGTTCTCAATTGACAATAATAATTTAGTATTGTGAAGAATGAGCTGCCTTATTGAATATCTTGATACTTATTTAGAATCGGAATATGGAATTCATGTTCAAATTTTCTTGAAAGCAGTTTTAACGGTTTTAATGGTGGTTCAGGTTGCTGTATTTCTAGTTTTTTGTGAAGTGCTTTGAGGACTCACTGTCAGTTGTCTTTTTATGCCCCCGCCGTAGCAGAGGGGGCATTAAGTTTTACCCTTGTTTTTTAATGATGTCTTTCTTTAACTTAGGATTTGAAATTGTCCCTTTGGTATGGTCTAACTTTCTTAATTTCCATAAATAGTTAACAAATGCTCAAGAGGGTATAAATCACTTAAAAAACTGTTGTTATATCTATGCAGTATGTTAGAAAGTTATAGAATCATCTTCTAAGATGATCATTCTTGCACTGTAACAATTTAACAAAGATAATAATACAGGCTATAAGGGGCCTCTTATTTGAGATTCCTTTGGAAATTCCCAGCCATTAGTTTTATATCCCCCCCCCCCCCCCCCCCCCCACAACACACACACACACCTTAAGAGTTAGTTTAATGGTATTCACCTTGTTTTTACTTTCTTCCATCTGTACCTCTCTTTCATTCAATTAGTATGCAACTTTTAACATGTTTAAGTTTTCAATATATTGAATGATCTTGATATTTTTGTCACACACTTCTCCAGTCTTACTGAATAGATTGACTTTGTATTTGGTCAGCAGTTTGACAGTGATGAGTTGTAAGGTGTAAGTGCTTTTTATACGACCGCAAAAAAATTTTGTGGTCGTATATTGGTATGACGTTGGCGTCGTCGTCGTCGTCGTCGTCGTCGGCGTCCGGCGTCGTCGTCGTCCGAATACACAATGGTTTTCGCACTCTAACTTTAGTTTAAGTGAATGGATCTCTATGAAATTTTACCATAAGGTTCAATACCACAATAGGAAGGTGGGGATTGATTTTGGGGGTTATGGTACCAACAGTTAAATAATTAGGGGCCAAAAAGGGGCCGAAAATAAGCATTTTTGTAACTTCCAGACATAACTTGTGTGTTATTGTATGGATCTCTTTGACATTGTACTACAAGATTCCATATCACAAAGGGTCGATGATGGGATTGATTTTGGGGTTAATTTCCTCGAAATTTTAGGAATAAGGGGCCAAAAGGGGGCAAAAAACAAGCATTTTTCTAGTTTCATGACAATAACTTGTGTGTAAGTGTATGGATCTTTCTGAAATTTTACTACAAGGTTCCATTTCGCAAAGGGAAAGCTGGAATTGAGTTTTGTGGTAATTGCCCAAAACGTTTAGTAATAAGGGGCCTAAAAAGGGGTGAAAAATAAGCATTTTTTAGTTTCTAGACAATAACTTGTGTTCAAGTGTATGGATCTCTCTAAAATTGTATTACAAGGTACCATACCACAAAGGCAAGGCTGTTATTGAGCTTGGTTTGGGGGGGAAGGGGGGGGGGTGATGAATCATAGGGGGGGGGGGGGGGTCAAAAAAGGGGTAATTATTTTTTTTCGTTTAAGGAATAAGGGGAAAAAAGGTTAAAAAACTAGGGTTTCCATTTTAATAGACAAATAATTGAGTAAAGAACATTATTTAAAAGCAGTGTAAGGTTGGTAATTCAAAATCATTTAAATATCTCACCTGCACTATGTTTGAATTATGTAAATTGGAAATTTGCCAATTATTTTAGTATAATAAACTTCATTGGAAATTTGCCAATATAAAATTTTGCTGATGAAGGTTTTTTGTTTACCTTTAGTCTGACTATGATGTCATTTTCTATTTTAATAGCCTTATGATGTAGTTAAATTTTTTTTAATACTTTTATGATGTATTTTAATGCGCTTTTATGGTTGCAAATTTATTGTTTTAATATAATAAACTCCATTGGAAATTTACCAATAGTTTGTTTATTTTTAGCTATGACTATGATGTCATTTTCTATTTAATTTTAAGGTTACAAATTAATTTCAGTTTTAAATATTATTGTAAAATGTTTGCCCAAAACATTTATTAATAAGTGGCCAAAAAAGGGGGCAAAAATAAGCATTTTTTTAGTTTCCAGACATTAACTTGTGTTCAAGTGTATGGATTTCTCTGAAATTGTACTTAAAGGTACCATAACACAAAGGGAAGTGGGTCAAAAAATTTTTGGGGGGGGGGGATTTTTTTTCCTTTTTTTTTTCTTTAAAATTTTCCATTTTAAGTTGGTTAATTCTGATCACAAAGAGAAAGTTGGAATTGAGTTTGGGGGATAATTGCTCAAATGTTTAGGAATAAGGGGCTAAAAAAGGGGTTAAAAATAAGCATTTTTTTTTAGTTTCCAACAATTAATTGTGTTTAAGTAATTGGATCTCTGTGAAATTGTACTGCAAGGTACCATACCACAAACTGAAGGCTGGGATTGAGTTTGGGGGGGCATGATGTGTGAAAATTTTCCACTTAAAGTTGGTTAATTATTTCTGATTTAGATATAAAAGCAAATAATAATGATGTGGTTTGATTTTATCAAAAACTTAAATTGAAGTTATGTATATTGTAAATTTAGGTTACATTGGAATTTAAGAATTGGCTTTGGGGTAGGGTTATGGCTCAAACCTTTAAATAATAAGGGAAAAAAAGGTGAAAAAACAAGGGTTTCCAGGTTAATAGACAAATAAGTACAAAACATTATTTAAAAGCAGTGTAAGGTTGGTAATTCAAACTCATTTAAATATCTCACTTACACTGCTTTTAAATTATGTAAATTGGAAATTTGCCAATAACTTTATTGTTAATAAATGCATTGGAAATTTGCCAACAATTTTAGTATAATAAACTTCATTGGAAATTTGCCAATATAAAATTTTGCTGATGAAGTTTTTTTGTTTACCTTTAGCCTTGACTATGAAGTCATTTTCTATTTTTATAGCCTTATGATGTAGTTGAATTATTTAATACTTTTATGATGTGTTTAAATGGGGTTTTATGGTTGCAAATTTATTGTTTTAGTTTAATAAACTCCATTTAAAATTTGGTAATAAAAAAAATTTTTGTTTATTTTTAGCTATGATTATGATGTCATTTTCTATTTTACTTTTATGGTTGCAAAGAAATTTTTATTTTTAGATATTACTGTTAAATGATGCTGATTAAGGTTTTTGCTATGTTTAGCCATGACTATGATGTCATTTTCTATTTTAATATCTGTCATGATGTATTTAAATGGGCTTTTATGGTTACAAAGGAATTTTATTTTTAGATATTACTGTAAAATGTTGCTGATTAAGGATTTTGTTTATTTTTAGCCATGACTATGATGTCATTTTCTATTTTAATACCTTTATTATGTAATTTCCATTTTTAGAGATTACTGTTAAATGATGCTGATTGAGGGTTTGAATGCTGGGATTGATTTTGGGGGTAATTGCCTCCAAATTTTAGGAATTAGGGGGCAAAAAACAAGCATTTTTCTAGTTTCATGACAATAACTTGTGTGTAAGTGTATGGATATTTATGAAATTGTACTACAAGGTTCCATATCACAAAGGGAAAGCTGGAATTGAGTTTGGGGGTACTTGCCCAAAACGTTTAGGAATAAGGGGCCAAAAATAAGCATTTTTCTAGTTTCCAGACAATAACTTGTGTTCAAGTGTATGGATCTCTCTGAAATTGTTCTGCAAGGTACCATACCACAAAGGGAAGGCTGGGATTGTTTTTGGGGGTAATTGTCTCAAAATGTTAGGAATTAGGGGCCATAAAGGGGCAAAAAAACAAGCATTTTTCTAGTTTCATGACAATAACTAGTGTGTAAGTGTATGGATCTTCATGACATTGTACTGCAAGGTTCCATATCACAAAGGGAAAGCTTGGTTTGAGTTTGGGGGTAATTGCCCTAAACTTTTAGGAATTTGGGGCCAAAAAGGTGCAAAAAACCCAAGCATTTTTCTAGTTTCCAGACAATAATTTGTGTTCAAGTGTATGGATCTCTCTGAAATTGTACTGCAAGGTACCATACCACAAAGGGAAGGCTGGGATTGAGTTTGGGGGTGATGAATCATAAGGGGGTTTCAAAAAATTTGGGGGGGGGATTTTTTTTTCCTTTTTTTTCTTTAAAATTTTCCATTTTAAATTGGTTATTTCTGATTTATATATAAAAGCAAATAATAATGATATGGTTTGAATAGGTAAATTAAAAAATTTTAAGTTCTTGGACTACTTTCATTCTGTGTGAGAAACCTATGCTGTGTCAAATATTTAATTACAATCCAAATTCAGTGCTGTATCAAGCTTGAATGTTGTGTCCATACTTGCCCCAACTGTTCAGGGTTCGACCTCTGCGGTCGTATCAAGCTGCGCCCCAGCGGAGCATTTTATTGGATTTGTTAGACATTTACATCCTGCTTTCTGATATTTTCAATTACGAATGGGAGTTTGCTTAGCACGATAACACAAACAATTCTTGTTCAATCAAAGAAGATACATTTTCTGGATTATTTGGCCCTCTAAATTTTCAATATTTGCCACTGGACGTTAAGCAACCAACAATCAATTTAAGTTTTCAATGAATTAAAGATTGTGAGACCCTGCTGTTAATCACATTGTTTGAGCTTTAGCAGAAAGGCCATCAGAAATGTAAATATTAGGCAAGCTTTGTTTACTGAATTTTACTGTGACCTCATTATAATGACTTCATATGCAGAAATTTTCAAACTTTAAGCCAAAATAGGCTATTTGAGCACAAGCATAGCCCAGAAGAATTATCTTGCCAGTGAACAGATAAAGAGCGCATTTGTTTCTAACCTAAACGATGTAAACGATTGCGCGCGTAGTCGTTTAATCCATTTGTTTCTGTCATTTTTTTTATCAATGTTGACATCGTTCACATAAACGATGTACGCGCAAAATAGTCGGGTAGTGGTTGGTCGTTAATCGTTGAGATGTTTATACGATACATTTGTTTCTGCTTCTGTCGTTTAAATAATTACGAGCACGTGTTGTTTTCGCAAAGTCCTAGTCATTCATTTCCCGCACTTTTACCTGTTTGTTTACAGTGCGTGTATGTAATCTATTTCTGTCTTACTACACACGGTCAATAAAGTTCAATAAACGATGTATTTGTTTCTAGCAGCTTAACGTTTACTAAACGATAGTCATCGATGACAAAATTATGGGTTAGAAACAAATGCACTCTCAGACAAAATACAATTACTGTGGGAATATCTTTTTAAGCATCTGTTTATTATTTCTAAGCATGTGCAAGACAAAAATTCTTCTGTAGTTTTGCCTTTTTATAGAATTTGCTATCATTTTATGGCTATATATCCGATAAAAAATATAGTTAATTAAAACTGCAATGTTTTATTAGTACATCGATTCAACCTTTGATTCTGCAAATCAGAGACAGCTGCAAAGACTTATGATTTTAAGGCTATTTTGGCCCAAAATTAAACTTTGTCCTTTGAGCTTGCTCTTATTTTTTGCAAGAAAAAAGAAGGAATGGGACTGAAAGTAACTCACGCCTAGAATGATGTTCTGCCGATTATAGCCTGTAAATACAACTGAATGCAGATAGTTATATTCTTGAACTTTATACATTTATATATGTGTTTGCAGATGAATGGTGAAGGAGATTGGGAATATGAAGAGATACCATTAGAAAGGGTAAGTAGTAAATGCTATATTCTCTGTAAACAATTTCCTCACCATTTTCATTTTTCAATTGCTCAAATATTTGTACAGATCTCATATAAATCACACACAAATTACATGGTTTGAAATAAGCCTTAGAGAATTTAGAAATGATAAACCAATTGAAAGAAATAAAGATGAAATATTCATGTTAGATAAAAAAAAAAACCTGTGATTTATCATGTTTATGATATAAGATATCAAAATTAAAGAAATAGTTCTTAAAATCAATGAGTGGCTGAACAATAATCTATTGAAATGGTGCAATACTGATAAGATATTGCTTCAGAGAAGAAAAAAAATATATGATTACTAAATAATATTTGATGTATTGTAAGTCTTTGTTCATCTGTCTACTACCCATCTGAGACCACATTTTAAATGATTTTTAGGTTTTCCCTTAGCAATTCATGGACTTTGTCATTGCTTTGGAAGGGATTAATTTTGAATCAGCAACTCTGCCTAAATCCACATTAACTTTGGGGTTTCCTTAAGCAAATCATAGACTTTGCCATTGCTAAATGTGTGGGCTGGGGGTATCATTGAGTGTATCTTATGCATCAACTTTATACATATGAAACACAGGGTTCCACTGAGCTCATCTTGAATGTTTTATAAGTACTTGTTAGATTATAAACATTTTAACAGGGAAATACTGGTCTTGGATTTAGCATTGCTGGAGGGGCAGACAACCCACACATTGGGGATGATCCAAGCATATTTATTACCAAGATCATACCAGGTGGTGCTGCAGCTGCTGATGGGAGGCTTAAGTAAGTTTTTTGCTAATCAAGTTACAATATGTAAATTCAAACATCTTCATAAATATTTGACATTTGGTTTCCAGACAATAACTTGAGTATAAGTGTATTGTGATCTCTTTGAAATTGTAGTACAAAGTTCCATACCTCAAAAGGAAGGATGGGATTCATTTTGGGGGTTAAAGCCCAAACCATTCAGAATGAGGGGCAAAAAAACAAGTTTTTTCTGGTTTTCGGACAATAACTTTGAGCATAAGTCTACGGATCTCCATGAAATTGTACCACAAAGTTCCATACATAAAAAGGAAGTTTGGGATTGAATCTGGGGATTATAGCCCAAACTGTTTAGGAATAGGGGCCAAAAACAATACTTTTCTATTGCTTTGTGTAAATTGCTTATTTCTTGATCAATTTCGATGGAGTTTAATTCAAAGTCTTGAATTCTTGGGTTTTTTTAATATGCTATGTATTTAGATTTTGGAATTTGGGCCCAATTTTTACACGCCCGTTTACGGGACGTATTATGGTATACCTCTGTCCGTCGTCAACATGTCGGCAATTAACTCAAAAATGCTTTAACAAATTTGCATAAAACTTTGATGAATTGTTTATATCTATTGACGTGAGCTCCCTTTCATTTTTTTATAAAATTAAGATTTTACGTTTCCGAGTTATGGGGTTTTATTCATTAAAAAAAGGGGGGATTTTCCAGTTTTCGGACAATAAGTCAAGAATGCTTTCACCAACTTGCAAGAAATTGTGGTGAATTGTTTATATCTATTGACATGAGCTCCCTTTAGAATTTTATTTTTCCGAGTTACAGGGTTTTATTCATAAAAAAAGGGTGAAATTTCCAGTTTTCGGACAAAAACTCAAAAATGCTTTTAGAAATTCTTATGAAACTTTGGTGAATTGTTTGTATGTATTGATGTAAGCTCCCTTTAGAATTTTATAAATTTTACATTTTACATTTTACATTTCTCATTTATGGGGTTTTATTCATTAAAAAAAGGATTGATTTTGCAGTTTTCGGACAATAACTCAAAAATGCTGTCACCAATTCTCATGAAACTTTGGTGAATTGTTTATATCTATTGATGTAAGCTCCCTTTTTATTTTCATAAATTTCTAATTTGACATTGAGAATTAATTGAACTTTATTTGTTTATAGTCTGACAACAGATTTGCTAAGTATTGCACAACAGCAAGAAATCTTTATTGAATATGTCCACATTGAGGTCAAAATCCAAAAATTCATTTATTTTTTGTACATAAAATAGGCCTTTAGTTTTCTCGTTTGAATTGTTTTACATCGTCATTTCGGGGCCTTTTATAGCTGACTGTGCGGTATGGGCTTTGCTCATTGTTGAAGGCCGTACGGTGACCTATAGTTGTTAATTTCTGTGTCATTTGGTCTCTTGTGGAAGTTGTCTCATTGGCAATCATACCACATCTTCTTTTTTATATGTATTTAGATTTAGGAGTCGTTGATTTCAACAAAAATTGAATATATGGGATTCTTTGATATGCTGAATCTAACTATGTATTAAGATTTTTAATTTCAACCCCAATATCAGATTGGCCCCAATTTAGGTCCAAATGGTTCAAAATTAAATTTAGTTCGATTTTAACAAATATTGAATTCTTGGGGTTCTTTGATATGCTGAATCTAAACATGTCTTTAGATTTTTGATTTTGGGACCCATTATCAAATTGGTCCAAAGGGTCCAAAATTAAACTTTTTTGTTTGACTTCAGCAAAAAATGAATTCTTGGTTTTTTTTATATGCTGAATATAACCATGTATTTAGATTTTGGATATTGGACCATAATAGGTAAATGTCCAATTTCAAATTTTTAAGTTCTTAGACCATATTCATTCTGTGTCAAGTATTTTATATATCACAATCCAAATTTAGAGCTGTACCAAGCTTGAATGTAGTGTCCATTCTTGCCCCAACTGCTCAGGGTTGGACCTCTGCTACCAGGGGAGCTTTTTATCTACATTGTTTCCAACTGTTAAACATCGACTTGCTATATCTTTACAAGTAACAACTTTGAAAAAGGTAGGGTGCTAAAGAATCAATTTGTGAGTTCTGATCAAAGTTCTTCTACTTTGTAAAATATTTTTGATGGTATAGAAATGATAAGAACTGTAACCTTTTGAATTTGTATGTTAACAGTAGATGTTTTTGGCTAGAACGTAATTTCCCTTTTTTGCAGACTTAAATTTGCATTTGAAATTAACTAATTAAGATTTTACTGTATTACACTGTTCATCAAATTAGAAATCAAACATATAAATTAAGCAGTTGGTATGATCAAAGCCAATTACCACAATAAGATTGATGAAATTTATTGTAACTGTTCAATAAATATCTCAGAACCCTGCCAGTTATCTAATCAAATTAACTTTTCTCTTCTAGCTAAATTATTTCTATGTTAGCATTTGTTTTTTTAACTTCTGAAAATAAACCTTTTATGTAAGCAAACCTGACTGTTTACCCATGTTTTATTGGATAAAACAGCATGTTTTCTAATTATTGATGGACTATTTCTATTCTATGTCAAGTATTGAGTGATTGAATAGGACAATAAATTGTCATGATCATAGAATGGGATGCCCACTAAATAGGTACCAAAATAAATCTAATTTCAAATAGAAGTTTAAAAAAAGTACTGTAAAAGAAAAAAAATTCAGACATCAGTAAGCATATGTCACTGTTATAAAAAAGTTAAAAAAAAAATGCAGATATTTTGATGACTTATAAATGATCTGTGAATTTAGTCAGCAATATTTCAGAGGTCTGCCAAAATTAGTGCTGAAATATCTTAGTTTTGTGAAGCATTTTTTTTTATCTTATTTATTTATACTTATATTTTTTTCTATGTCAGTTCTTGCAGCTGAGATCTTCTATGTTTGTTTTTCAGTTATAGTTGTTATAAAAAAAATCAATATAATTTACTTGTCCTAGCTTTTAAAATATATTTCCTGAAGTCTACCAAAGTTGGGCATCTGTAAATCCATGGTGGCAAAGGTTTAAAGAATTTAATTCAATATAATATTAGAGGTTAACAATATATTGCATAGACATTTGTCTATAGTTGAAGACCATAATATGACCTCTAGATTTTTTGTCTGATTGACAAAACCCCCAATAGTTAACTGAAGCCAACCATTGGAAGAATAAAACAATAAAGAATTGCTAATAAAATTAACTTGTATGTGATAATATTTATAGCACATAGGACAATAACATTATTTCATAAAAAATGCAATACTAGTTAGATAATTATACCATACAAAAGAATGTGCTTAGTTGCAGAAAGCAAACTTTGATATTGATATGTCCTTAACATGCAAGCCTTTATGTTATAAAAAAGAAAATTAAAGAAATGTTTTCTTGGAGATTAGATGCAGATTCTTCTCTTTTTTTATGTGATTTTTTGGGGGTGGGGAGTCTGGAATTTTTCCATTAAATATTATTGTGCCATTTTTGAAATTTTGTCATTTGTTTGTGCTTACAGATTTTATTTCACAAAGTCATAGATTTACAAGGCATATGTTAAATTTACTTTATTTAGAAGGAACATGAATATATTTTATTGCCTAATATTTGAACAGGTGGTAATCACTTCAGCAGTTGTTAATTGGTTAAACATGCTCTATACCTACGCAGTTATGTTTATTTATATCTACATCTTATTCTCCAAAATGTTTTTCATGTGTAGAGATGTTTTTTTTGAATTGCTCATAAATGTTTCTGTTCTAAATGCACTGAAAGACCTGGCAGTTTTTAAAGAACAAAATGAAAATGAAAGTTGTTTTTAATTTGATTTAAGATTTAATTTTACCAAATTGACAATTAAAATAAATGTATTTTTTGGCTGAGGGCTTCAAGGTTGGATCTTGATATCCTTACTGCTTCAAATTTTGATTAAGGAGATAATCTAGTGTAATGTATTCATTCATATTTCCTTCACAATAACAAGGTGTTTCTTTCTTCTTCCTATCATGCATATCCTCGCCATTAACACTTCCTTCTTTTAATGGTAGATGTTGGACAATGCAAGCATCCATGTTACAAAATAATACTGCAATAAACTCGCAAAATACCAATTCCTGTTGATACAAAAAGGAATAACATGGCTTTGTAGTATTCCGGTTTTGTTTCCATTCATCATAAATAGGTGTATCCTCTTTATTTTTATATCTGTACCCCCATTTTACTTCACAAATGACAAGAATCCTCTTCTCTGGTGAACCCTAGAACAACCATAACTGCATTTCAAATGGAAGGAGGATTCATCTGCACACCTGGCCAAGTTAGTTGTTATCTACACTTCACTTGTCTTACCATACCATATTGCTGCAACAGTAACAGACATCTTTACAGGTCTTCCCATACACAACTAGTCTAAGAGGATTCTATTTACACCTCACTTGTCTCACCAAACAGTAAAACCGTGTTGCTGCAACAGTAGCATACATCTTTACAGGTCTTCCTATATACACCTGGTTTAACAGGATTCTATTTACACCTCGCTTGTCTCACCAAACCATGTTGCTGCAACAGTATCATACATCTTTACAGGTCTTCCTATATACACCTGGTCTAACAGGATTCTATTTACACCTCACTCCTCTCACCCAACCATGTTTCTGCAACAGTAACAGACATCTTTACAGGTCTTCCCATACACAACTTGTCTAACAGGATTCTATTTACACCTCACTTCTCTCACCAAACCATGTTGCTGCAACAGTAGCATACATCTTTACAGGTCTTCCTATATACACCTGGTTTAACAGGATTCTATTTACACCTCACTTGTCTCACCAAACCATGTTGCTGCAACAGTATCATACATCTTTACAGGTCTTCCTATATACACCTGGTCTAACAGGATTCTATTTACACCTCACTTGTCTCACCATACCATGTTGCTGCAACAGTAACAGACATCCGTTCAGATCTTCCTACATACACCTGGTCTAACAGGATTCTATTT